TGTGAGTATCTTATTATCTAAGTACAAGGAAAGAAAACCAGTTTTTAAATAAAATGAAATAAAATAAACCAGTTTTTAAAGAACATGTTAATGTTAATATTGAGTATTTACAAAATGTGTGAGCACAGAGGAGAAAGAATTGGCTTGACTCATGCACCTGTATTCTAACTCATATTTCCCCTTCTACACTTGACTCCTTAACATTGTGTGCTCTCAACAGCCAGAGTGATAGATTAGATTATATCAATCCTCCACTTTAAACTTTCAATTTAAGTTTCTTACTGGTCTTATGAAGCCAGTGGGATCTGGCCCCTGACTGTAATTCAATCATGCTGGCTCCTTTCAGTTCTTTGGGAACTCTAGCTTGCTCTCTGGTTCCTGTTGCCAAAATGCTATTCCTCCTATCTCTGTATGATTAGCTTCTTCTTGTCATTCAGAACTCAACTTAGGTGGCTAGATTCCTGATACCTGATGTAAGTAACCACTCAGTCACTGGAAGTCATTTGACTCTGCTTATCATTAGCCATGATTTGTTAGTGTCTTTCTTTTCCTATATCCCTCTCTTCCTTCCTTCTTTCCTTCCTCTTTCCTTCCCTCCTTCCCCCTTCCTTTCCTCCTTCTCTCCTTCCTTCCTTTTTTCCTTCCTTCTTTCCTTCTCCCTTTCCCCCTTGCCCCTTCCTTCCTTCCTTCCTTCCTTCCCTCTTTCCATACCTCCTCCATTTTTCTTTTCTCTTTCTTAACTTTGTATCTCTCTCTGCACTAGAATGCATGCCCCATCAGAACAGTAACCTTGTTCTCTCCTACTCGCATAATAGATATTCAATGCGTACTTCCGGAGTACATGAACAGATGGATAGAAGAATTCTAAATGCTGGAGGATTTGCAGGTACCTGCTAGGTGGAATGCTGTGGGGACAGAGGATGGCTTTTTAGACAGAGAAACAGCACCATATTCAAACACCTGAGACAGTGAACAAGAACAATACAAGTATATTGGTTTGGTTGGAATACAAGGTTTGGGTTGAGTTTGGGGAGAGCAGGAAAACAAGGTGAGAATTGAAAGATAGTTTTGCTCTCTTTCTACACACATACACACACACGCACACATGCACACACATACACACCCTCCCAAGAAATTATTTTTCAGTCTGAGACCTAGTTTGTTGATTCACACACAGAAATTCAGACTTCTGCTATTTTTTTTTTTTTGACATTTCTACCTTGTAGGAATATAATGAATTGGACTTGTCAAAAGCTACTGACATATTTGGTCTGTTGTAAACAGCTCATTGAAGAGTTTTGACTTTTGATTTTTAGCAGGGATTTTTTTTTTTAATTTTTGAATGAATTGGAAATAGATTACTGAACCTGGCCAAATGCAGGAAATATATAAATCATCATTTTATATCATTTACTCTTTTGACTCTTACAGCAGCAGATTTATTGATTACTCACACACACATATAAATGTACTTTATATATTTGGCCTTTATTTGTTTACTATTTATGAGGTTTAAAACAATTTTGGGAAATCTGATGAGGCTTTCATTCACTTTGATAGCTTCCTCATCTGTAAAATGATAGCAATAATAATGTATAGATCTCAAAGCGTAGTTGTAACCCTTAAGTGACTTAAACTGCAAAAGCGTTTAGATCAGTCCTTGGGGTAATTGTTTGCCTTTATTATTATCATCATTGCTGCTCACGTGAAGAACATGAGTTGAAGGAATTTTACACTACATTTTAAATTCGCCTGTAAATGCAATTACATTTTACTTTCTGCCCTCTTGCCATTTGGAGGCATTGCTTGATAATGACTGATGTCATTTCTTGCATGCTTTTTAAACTTGGTATAAATGAAGTCTAATCAAGTGAATTATGTCAAGTCAATTGTTTTCATTTTTAAAAACAATACAAAGGCCAGCATAAGCCAGGGAGATACTGAGTAAAGATGAAAAGAGAAATCTCAACAGAAAAAATATCCTCTAGAAAAAAGAGAACCTATTTTCCTTGCAGCAGGGCCCTGACGTGAATACGTTTCAAGATTCAATTGCATTTGCTCTGTCTCTGACTCTTGGCTCCAGCCCCTCTCACCAAGACTCTAGGGTAGTTGTGGCCTGTGGTTCTGCAACTCAGCTCTTTGGAGGGCAGGAAGGAAGGGTGGACCTGCTTGAGATTTCCTGTCTTGCTGTGAGTCACTGATACAGAGCACTCTTCTCGCACTATCCAGAGAGCAGGAATGCAGCAGCCGAAGTCAAACCGGAACCATCCTCTGCGTCATGATAACTGCTTTCACCACCTACTCAAGCACGGGCTGCACATCTTCAGGAGGTGCTCTTCCGCCTGTGGAGCAAGACACTGAAAGAAAGGTTCTATTATCTCCCTTAAGGAGAAGATAATAAAACTTATGACAAAGAATATCTTTGCATAACATTTAGGTCTGATGGACTCATTTTGTAGATGGCAGACAAAGTCTTCAATTCTGACTAGAATAGGAAAGATTATAAGTCTGTCTCATACCTAATTCCCTTTCCTATCCTGCCTGCCTATATTGTAAACAAATTGATGTTGAGGCTGGGTGTGATGGCTCACGCCTGTAATCCCAGCACTTTGGGAGGCTGAGGTGGACAGATCACCTGAGGTCAGTAGTTAGAGACCAATCGTGGCCAACATGGTGAAACCCCATCTCTACTAAAAATACAAAATTAGCCAGGCATGATGGTGCATGCCTGTAATCTCTACTATTCAGGAGGCTGAGGCAGGAGAATCACTTGAACCCGGAAGCAGAGATTGCAGTGAGCTGAGATTGCGCCACTGCACTCCAACCTGGGTGACAAGAGCGAAACTTCATCTCAAAAAAAAAAATTGAAGTTGTTTTGCGATTCCTGTAAGTAAATGGCTTGTAAATAAAAATTTAAGCTTAGCCAGGTGTGGTGGTGCATGCCTGTAGTCCCCACTATTTGGGAGGCTGAGGCAAGTGGATCACTTTAGCCCTGGAATTTGAGGCTGTAGTGAGCTCTGATCATGCCACTGCACTCCAGCCTGTGTGACAGAGCAGGACCTTTTCCCTAAAATAAATAAATAGGCTGGATGCAGTGGCTCACACCTGTAATCCCAGCACTTTGGGAGGCCGAGGCAGGTGTTCGAGGCCAGCCTGGTTAACATGGTGAAACTCCATCTGTACTAAAAATACAGAAATTAGCTGGATATGGTGGTAGGTACCTGTAATCCCAGTTACTTGGGAGGCTGAGGCAGGAGAATTGCTTGAGCTTGGGAGGTAGAAATGGCAGTAAGCCAAGATCACACCACAGCATTCCAGCCTGGGTGACAGAGCAAGCCTCTGTCTCAAAAATAAATAAATAAATAAATAAATAAAAATAAAAAATAAAATAAATATATAAATAAAAATTTAAAAAATTCTTGCTTGTGGAGTGTAATGTGAAAGGAATTAATCTTTGTAGATTACTTCTGTTAAGACAGCTGTACTACCTAACTTCTAAGCCTGTTGGAAGGATCAATAATAATAATAGTGATTGAGCATATGTTTTACACTGGATATTATGTAATCTATATACATTATTGCTGATCATCACAACCTCCACAAGCGTTCCATTCTACATTCTACCAGTCGCCTTTTTTTTTTTTTTTTTTTTTTTTTTTTTTTTTTAGATAGAATCTCATTCTGTTGCCCAAGCTAGAGTGCAATGGCCAGATCTCAGCTGACCTCAACCTCCATCTCCTAGGTTCAAGTGATTCTCGTGCCTCAGCCTCCCTAGTAGCTGAAATTATAGGCACACACCACTACACCCAGCTAATTTTTGTATTTTTTGAAGAGATTGGGTTTTGCCACGTTGGCCAGGCTGATCTCAAACTCCTGACCTTAGGTGATCCAGCAGCCTTAGCCTCCCAAAGTGTTGGGATTATAGGTGTGAGCCACTGCACCCGGCCATGTGTTCTGCAGACTGCCTGCAGAAATATTAAGAAGAAGGAAGGACAGGTTGAAGAATTAGAAGTAAGGGAATGCTCTAGATGCAGCCTTCTGCTGCCCAAGAGGAAAATTGTCTGATTGTTCCTATAAAGTGCATTTGAGAGTAGCTGCATTAGAGACTTGAAAATCATGCTATAAAGCTGTAATAGAAGAGAAATTATAAAAAATTCATGTTTTTTTCTTTAATGCTGTCGGATTACAGCAATATAAAAATGATTCTAGGGCTTTGGTAGGGAAGTTGCAATGAATTCAGCTGTGATATTAATGAATTTAAATTGCTAGTCATTAAGTGGCTACCTCAGAAAACCAGAAACATGAACTCTCATAGTGTGTATTTATTAGAGAAGAGAGAATAAGCTGTAAAATAGTTACTGCCATGACCATTTACAGACATGATAAATTAATTTTTTTCAATTTTTTTTTTTGCTCACATAATTAGATTTAAATTTTTGGTTTTGTTTTTGTTTTTGAGAGTTTTGCTCTTGTTGTCCAGGCTGGAGTGCAGTCTCGGCTCACAGCAGCCTCCATCTTCTAGGTTCAAGTGATTCTCCTGCCTCAGCCTCCCGAGTAGCTGGGATTGCAGGCATCTGCCACCATGCCTGGCTAATTTTGTATTTTTAGTAGAGATGAGGTCTTTTCATGTTGGTCAGGCTGGTCTCGAACTCCCAACCTCAAGTGATCCACTTGCCTCAACCTTCCAAAGTGCCGGGATTATAGGCATGAGCCACTGTGCCCAGCCTGGTTTTTAAAAATTTTATTCATGAAAATTGGGTCATCTCTGAAAATGGTAATTATTTTATTAAGCAATCAGCTCTTCTCAGTTGTTCTCTAATTTATACCTCAGAGTAGAAAAAATAGTAGTAGCTGTTTAATATCAGTACAGGTTACCTTCAGCATGTTTTGCAACATTTTCTACTTTTCATAAGAAATTTGATGAATGTGGGGTTTGTTAGCACATTCAAGAGACCACTTGGGGTGAAAAAAAATCTCTTGAGGACTGTCTCAGCAAACACTTTGACACCACCCTGGTCACTGAAGCATTACAGTTTTCTGTTCAGGCAAACTTTTTTTTTTTGAGACAGAGTCTTTTTTTTTTTTTTTTGAGACG